TTTAAATTCAAAATCTTATTAAGAAGAAGTTAAGTTTTTTTTACTTAAATCAATAAATAATTAATATTTTAAATTTTTCTTCAATAGAAAAGCAAAAAAAAGAGCCGTAAGCATTTTGATTGATTTTTTTATGATACAAAGGAAAGGGAGGGAGGGACCACTTTTTCTTTGAAAATACTTTTTATTACGCCGGGTGTAAATCTCTAGGGCCCACAGCCGAAGCCTGTCGCCTTCTTAGGTTTTGGGAATACGACAAGCCTACAGCTGTGGACTGTGACCCTCTCTGTACCTTCCACCACTTTCGCCACCGTTCGCCGCCAACAACACTGCCGTGAGTTCTTTTTTTCCTTTTTCTTTTTTTAACTGCCGTGAGTTCTGATCAGTTGCTAATTTTTTCATTTTCTTAATTAAATAATATTATAATTATAATATTATATAAATTTAAATATTTATAATTAAAATATAATATTAAATAAGTAAACATATAATAAAATTTAAATAAAAAATAATTATATAATGATATATTAAATTATATTATAAATTTATTATTATTATTATTTTAAATAAACCTATTTTTCTATCAACAATAATTTATTTATTTAATAAAAATATTAAAGTTAATATTTTTTTTTGTTCATTCACAATAAAAATATACCTTCAATTTGTATGTACAGATAAAAAAAAAAAACCCTAAGGTTTTTTATACCGACAATTTAATTAAAATCCAATCATTTCCAATATTAAAAAAAGAAAGTAAGCTGTTATTAGTCACCATACGCATGGTTTACAATGGTTGTTGATTCCTGTGTAGGACCCATGCTGCGTCCCAAATTTAGCTTAGAAATGGCCCCCTACCGTACCACCACCAACAACCTACCGACCATACGAAATGAGATTAGAATTAGAATACATCTTTTCTTTTTCCCAAAGAGATGTGCTGAGAATGCAGTAAAAAAATAAAGTAAAATTTATAAACATTTAAAATATTAATATCATATATGAAAATTTATAAATATCTTAAATAAAATTTATTCAAAATATTTAAATATTTTATTTAGTATTTTAATTATTAAAATATCAAAAATTTTCTCAATCTAATGTTAAAACATGTAAAATTATAATAATTTTAGTTAAATTCTCAATTTAGTTCTTGAACTATTTACACACATTCAAGTTGATCCTTACTGTTTACCAATTTATTTTAAGTTGGTTTTTCTATTCAAAAATCAATTGACGTGTTATGTTATTAACATGACATATGATCGTTAAGTTATTATTTTTTATCATTAAGTTATTATTTTTGGTCATTAAATAACGAATACGTCAGTTATTTTTTGTATGAAAGAATTAATTTGAAGCAAATTAATAAACAATATAGATCAAATTAAGAATTTGTATAATAGTTCAAGAACCAAATCAATGATTTTTTTAATTCAAATATCAAATGAAGAGTTCGTATAATAATTTAGGAATCAAATTGAAAGTTTAACCTATTATTTTTTCTGAGTTGGGGGAGAAAAGAAAACAGAAACGTGCATGAATGTTCGATTTTGGTGAAGATGAAGGTGATGATGTTC